TGGATGTGTATTCTGTTGTTCAGGGGAGAGATTGGGCTGAAGACACAAATTTGGTAACAGTAGTATGTGGATGATATTTAGAGCTATGAAACTGGGTGAGATCACTTTGAGAGAAAGTTTAGATGCAGAAAATGCCCAAGTTCTCCAACTTTTAACAATTGTCAAATAATAAAATAAAGATCCCACAGACTTTTTTTTTTTTTTTTTTTTTTAAGACAAGCTTACTTACATGTCAGGCAAAGAGAAATTCACTGCATGGTTTTCCAAGTAAGAAAAGTCAGAGTTGTAAAAGCCTTACAAAGAGGGCTACAATGTTGTTCTGGTTATTTGGAATTAAAAATCGGTTATTTGAACTGAAGAGAATGAATGAATGCATAGGCTTGTGTGAGTGTGGGTAAACAAGTTCCCTTCATTGGTCAGCAAAGAGTCTTCAGTTAGGTACAGGAAGGGTCTGGTGTCCCACAGTCACTTGAAACTCATGATCATTGATCATCAGCTGGTTAGAACCACTGGGATAAAATACAACACTCAGCCATGACAATTCCTAAGCAAGTGCTGCTGGAAAAGGAGAAGTTTCCTCCTCTACAGTTTGGAAAATGAGGAAGATCTGGCAAAAAAGAATAAAGAGGATCTTCCCACTGAAGCAGGAGGCAACCAAAGGCTACATGGTGACCAGGATGTAAGAAATCCAAGAAGCAGGGAGTGATTGCAGGGACAAATGCTTCTGAGGGGTCTAGTGAAACAAAGACCGAGAGTTGTTCAATGTATTTGCAGCCTAGGGTTGTCGACCTTGACCTGGAGTAGTGAAGCCAATCTAGATTTTGTTGGAGGAGACAGGAGCAAAGACGAATCCTTTAATAGATTTAGCTGTAAAGAAGAACAGAGTAAAGGGACAATGACTGGAGAAGAGTGTGACAGTCAAAGAAGCTTTTTCTTTATAAGATGGTGCATATTTGTGTGACTGACTTGGCAGAGAGGGAAAATTGTTGATACAGGACCATTGTAATAGCAGATCCCTTGAGAAGAGACGAGACTAGCACCTAAGTGAAGAGGCTGGTGCTGTTTAAGAGTGTAGACTGTTATCCTTTACAACAGAAGAGAAGGCACTGATACCTGTGAGTGGGTAGATTGCTTCTCTTTTCTCAACAAGCTAAGAAACAAATTCATTCGCTGACAATGTGGAAGCATATGGGAAATTGGAGGTTTGAGAACTTAAGAGGAAGTTTCCACTAGTTGTATTGGAAATAGAGTGAACTGAGTTAGGGAAGGCAGTGGGATTCCTGGGCCATCCTGAGGTTGAGGTTTCTGGTGATGAATTTAAAATGAGGCCCATCAGCACTGTTGTGTGTTCCTCTACCCCTCTTCTCCCACTACCACATCCACCTGCTCCAGGATAATTGTAAAGAAAGAGGCAAAGAAGTTGAGATTGTGTGCAATGGAATTATGATAGAGGTGAGCCCTGGAGCTGAAGCTAAGGACATTACGGGGATGATACACAGGGAAAAATGCTGAGTATCAAGAGCTTGAGGTTTTCACTCTGCCTTGATACCCTGCAGTGCCTAGAAAGGGCTTAAGAAATCATCAGAAAAACAACAACAATTGTGTCACCAGCGAATCAATAATGCCCTCAATCCAGGTGCATTTCTTCCTCATTTCTCTTCAGGCCTTCGCTTGTCTGCCTCACTTGGGCACCTAGAAACTCCTACTCCTATTTCCCCACTCCTTTCTCCTCTACACTTCATCTCCCAAGGTCCAAGAGTCACTCTACTTGAGCCCGTTGGTCTGCATTCATACTTTCACCCATACGTCTGCATTGAGGCCCATTTCACTCTGGATCCTCATATTTTCAGAGTGGAACCCTGAAAACACAAGGCTTTCTTTAGCTTAAATGGATTGCTTCTGATGGCTTGGCTTCTCTTTCTGCTAGAAAATCCTTCCCTGCAGTGGTTGGGAAGGGCAAGGGTAAAGAGCGTGATGGGAACAGACAGTCTCTGGACCCTGCACTTGTTAAATGCAGAAATATTTTGTTTGTTATGTTCTACATTGATGTGTATTCTATGAACTTTGACTAGCACTCATTTCTGTTCCAATGCTTCTGATTTGAGCAAACAACTGCCTTCACGTGGGCTTTGCTTTCCTTGATCCTTGACTTTTCAGGTGGGGAGTCTTGGCCTTTTAGCTGACCCCTGAATTAGCTCCCTAGCCTCATCCGGCTTATCACTTGCCCTCCCTACTCTGAGGGGTAAGTTTAGGGACCCTGTGAGCCCACTGGCAGGAAGAAATTCTAGGAGTTCCTGTAAGGGCAAGATAAGACTTTACGCTTTTTTTCAACCCTGCAATATTCAACCCTGTGGATGCCTGGCAAGTTATTGTGTTTTGTGATATAAAAGGCCTCTGAAGGGATGACCTGCAGTGATGTCCATATTACCTTGCTGGGTCATGACCCAGCCCTCAGAGCCCTTCCTTTTGAAAGTTTTTTTCTTTTTTTAACTCCTGAATATATTGTCTGGTCCTCACTCATATTAAAGTTATCTGCCATTCTGTGCCCATTCACAGATTCATAAGTGCTTCCTGAACTCTAGCCCCATCTGCTCGGTTCTTCACATCCAGGAAGAAGTTACTATCATTCCCAAACTGAATGGTTCAGAAAAATGACATCACTTAGAAACAGGGAAGTATAACCTAGGCTTAGTCTTCCTGTCACTTCAGAGCTACTTAAAATTTGAGATTAGCCGATGACTCAGACCTAGAGTCTAAGCGAATTTTTATTCACATGGGAGTCACTGCAGGGAGTTGATTGTCCGAATCTTCCCAGACCCTTCCCACTTGCCCTGTTCTGAAGTATGCTCGGTGGTGACCTTCGACCTCAACCATTGTGCCGTGGGGGCCCTGCCAGGCCCTGTGGAGAGCTGAGGGCCACCCTGCACCAGTCTGTGGCCTGTGCAGAGTGGTGAAAGGAGCTTGGACTTCAGTGTCAGTTGATCTAATCTTTTGACCCTGATTTCCTGTCTCCTGCTGGCTGTGTGGCTATAGTCGAGGTAACTAACCTCTTTATGCTTCAATTTCCTCAGCTGCAAAATGTGGACAAATAAACTTATTCACAAGGTTACTGTAAGAAGCAAACAAAATCACACATTTAAAGCACTCAGCTTCATATCTGGTTCATACGTGTTCAATACATACTAATTTTTTAAAAGACTAATAAACTAACCCCACCCAAAATAACCCTATGTGGCTTTGCATTCACTTCTCTGAGGCCCATTGCCTGTCTGTGAAGCAGAGTTGATGTGCAGGTGAAATGAGACGGCTTCTCTCTGCACTCCGAGCACAGGCTCTCACCCCTTTCAGTGCCTTTCCTCTGAGCTCTTTTGCAGAAATCCTGCAGAAAGATGTACCTGGCCCCAATCAATTTCATTCTAATCTCTATAGACCAAATATAAGAGAAAAGCCAAAATTCTTTCCTAGATACCCAGGAGCCAGCACGTCCAACTCAGATCTATGGAAAGCAGCGATTAAAATGGTTTTTAGGAAGGAGACCGTGGAATGCCCATCCTGTTCCAGTTGCAGGGCACAAGGACCATTAATCAGCATCACCTAAGGGCAGCCCCTGCAGGTAAAATAGTGGAGGGGTCTGGAAACAAGAGACTGCCATGGGTACCCAGGCCACAGATTTCCTTCAAGTGTGTGAAGTGGTGTGATACTAAAAGGGAGTTAGAAGTAGGAGACCAGAACCTGCCAGAGCTGGTGCAGGGGGTGATGTGGAAGAAACTGCAGAGCAGGCAGACCGGGAAAATGCCTCCGCTACTCCTCCTGCCTGCCTGTTCTTCTTTCTCTTCTTCTCCTTTTCTTCTTCACAGACTTCCTCCAAGTGGGTTAACAGTTACCACCAGAGTAGCAGATCAGCCCATTCTCCATAGAACATGGCCTGTTGATCTAAGGCAAACCTGGGCTCAGTTCCTGCTTCCATCACTTGCCTCTCTGCATCTCAGTTGATGCATCTGTAAAATGCAGATGATCATTTCTATCTCAGAGAGCCATGGTGAATATCATGTGACATTATGTAGGTAAAGATTCCAGCATGGCGCCTGTACCGGGGAAGCTACAGAAGAAATGCTACTTTCCTTCCTTCCCTCCTCCCTACACTCAGTCTTGCGACACATCTATCTATGAAAGAGAACTAATTCTCAAATCCTTCCTTCTTTAACAAAAAAAAAGGCTTTGTCTGCCATAAAACATTAGCAAATAGTGATTGAGCTTGGGATTTTCTGGGAAGCACTGTGTTAGAGCAGGCAGTGTGTGATCATTTGATTTGTAGATATATTGTAATGACTTTTCACCACACAAAATCCACTTGAGGTGCTGCTAAGGACAGGAATAATGCTTCTCTGCTGCTTTTCTTTCAAGCCTTCTTTCTCTCATGCAAATCAGAAGCATTAATCCTTTTGGCTTTCTGGCCTCTTGTCTTTCAGAAAACTCCAGTCAGCTAGCTTCCCCCACAACCCTGAAAATAACATAATTGTTAAGAACTCATAACTTCAGAGTGTGATTTCAACCCTCTCATTGATAAGGCAATAACCTAAGCAAACAACATTAGATGAAGTTACAAGTCTGAACATAAAGTAGGGATGGAGGCATTATCTGGATGAGATGAATTGGAGTTCTCTATAAAGCTGCACAAATTATTATAGACAGAATAGACTTTGGATAGAACTCTCAGACCAAGCCATTAAGTGCCCCGGCTTCTAGTTCATCTCCCAGAGCTCCTCAGCGTGGCCTTGGTCAGAACATTCAGACCTCTTAGATCTGTCTGCCCTTGGTAGAAAATGTACATCAGGGTCCTGAGATCAACTCAGTCTACTAGTGGCTCATTTTTTCCCCTCATCTTTCCAATGGATGTCATGAAAGCCCCTCATAAACTTCCTTTTTCACTGATACTTAGTGACAGCTAAAAGACACACCCCGAGCACATGGATCAGTGTTTTCTTTGTTTTTATGTCCAGGTCATAGCTCCTTGGAGTCACCAACAAACATACCTTCTCCTTCTCCTGATTATTTTACATGGAATCTCACCTGGATAATGAAAGACTCCTTCCCTTTCCTGTCTCATCGCAGCCGATATGGTAAGTATATGTTTAATAGTTACTTGTGATGCACCATCACCATCTCGTAATAAGGACTCTGTGAGTTTCAGTTTGGGATTCATAGTGCTCCAGGGGATTCCCTCAGTTTCCTACATACAAAAGAAGTCTTTCTGAGCCCTCTGTCTCCCAGTGATACTCAACCCACTGGAGCATTCCAGCCAGGCCGTTCCAGCTGCGCTCTGTATCCTCATGGGAGCCAAGGGTTTTGTTGCTGCCATATCCCTCCCGCTTAGCCTTTATGGTATATAGTATTCCAGCCATCCCCTTATCAATCATTGGAGGAGATGCTTATTTGCATCTTGACTGTGGCTTGCTTTCTGGTTCTAACCCACAGCGTTTCTAACAATCTCTCTCTCTCTTTTTTTTTTTTTTTTTTGAGATGGAGTATTGCTCTGTCACCCAGGCTGGAGTGCAGTGGCGAGATCTCCGCTCACTGCAAGCTCCGCCTCCCAGGTTCACACCATTCTCTTGCCTTAGCCTCCTGAGTAGCTGGGACTACAGGCTCCTGCCACCATGCCTAGCTGATTTTTTTGTCTTTGTATTTTTAGTAGAGGCGGGGTTTGACTGTGTTATCCAGGATGATCTCGATCTCCTGACCTCATGATCTGCCGGCCGCAGCCTTCCAAAGTGCTGGGATTACAGGAGTGAACCACCGTGCCCAGTCAACAATCACAATCTCTTAAGAGGGGATTATTATTATGAGCAACACAGGTCTTCCAGGGCCCCTTACAGTTGGGAGGCTTCTTAAAGTTTCCCAAACATGTTCTTTGATATTTTTTCAGTTCATTTGATTCTGCAACAGCATCCGACATAAAGAGACCAGGTCCAATTACATTTTTACAGATGCAGAAACTAAGTTTAATAAGATCACACAGAGTGGCGTCTCCAGCTACCAAGCCAGAGTTCTTTCCCTACTTTCATTTTTTCTCCCAGGTGCCACCTACACAGCCTGGTAGGTCCTGTCCTAAGAGCCCTCGGGAGGCTGCTTTACATGGTATAAGATTCCTCCTTCTCTGTGCTCATTCAAACAGTTCATAGTAGCTGGGTCTCCGCAGGGAGGAGATTTAGAGGAGAGAAGAAGCATTTCCAAATGAACATTTTAATTCTCTTGAACTCCTCCAGGGTGAACCCCATAAGGACAGGCACTAAGCTTTGCTTTGCACTTTATTCTATCACATGGAAGATATGCATAAAGACTTATTAGATTGGTGCAAAAGTAATTGTGGCTTTTGCCACTACTTTCAATGGCAAAACCACAATTACTTTTGCACCAGCCTCATATTTATGATGAATGAATGCAAAAGGCCTCCAGAGATGAAACTCATTCATCAGGCCTAATTCAATTAAGTATTTATAAACCTAGTGTAGCACTGAGTTCTAGATTCCCTTCTGGGCATATTTACCTATTCCTCCATGCAGTCTATACCCTCGGCCTAAGCTATTTCAAAGGTACCTAACAGAGATGTTCCACTCGCTATAGAAAAGCTTCCAGTCCAAAGCCTGCTGTCCTCTCATCTATAATGCTCCTGGTTCATATTAACTGTACCTTTCTGTACCATATTTTAACCCAAAAAAAAAAAAAAATCCATGAAAAACCCTAGGGCAGTTTAGAATTATCTTCTGTGCTGGCATGTTTCCTGTGACTCTTAAGCAGCCCTCGCAGGAGAGAAAGATCAGTGGTCGTCAGGAGATTCCAGATAAGAATTACTTCCTGATTTTATTTAAGCCAGACACTCAGTGTCATCTTATGATAAGGGCAGGTATCTATAAATAATTGAAATCTGGATCTTTGCGTTGTTAATGCTTTGTAACCAGATTTGCAATACAACTGGTCTTCAGGTAATATTTTTGAGTTTGCTCCCAAAGTCATTCAGTATCTCTACAGGAGAACAATTTTTATAAAATGCGGAAGGCCCAAAAAAGACAGATCTACCCCCTGCATTCTGCAGAGGGCAACATATTTGTTCCCTGTGGAGCATCTTGTAAGAGGTTGCAGGTCAAAAGAAGAAAACCATGAAAGCTTATTAAGCTGCCTCCAACCCACGACTTGGCCCTGGTAAACCCATTTGGTGCTCCCTGAGCTTCATCCTCCTTATCTGTAGAATGAGGGTGAAATGCCATGCCACCTTAGGGCAAAGGAATCAATCTGGAGGTTTTCCAAGATCTTTTTCAAACTATCCTCATGGCCTGGAATCCTCATGATTTCCGTTTTTGGCAGAGGAGAGGACCCAAACCATTGGCAGTTACTGCCCAAGTTCTGGGTAAGAGTACCCAAGTCATCACCATTGTTGCGATTGATGTATGGGGAAGGAGGAGCTTATTCTGCATTGGTGGTCCCTTAACCGATCATGGTGGGCATTTCAGAGGCTTTACATCTTTCTGCCATATTTAATTCAGCTGAGACTTATGAAGACATTACCACCACCATCATCATCTCTGTGTGCTTGGCCCTGTGCCTGATGTGGGAAGTGATGCAAATATAAAGACAGGTAAGGGTTGGCCCTGCCCTTTCAGTGCTCATAGACCAGAGAAATCATTCCATAGGCAACTAAGCCCAAGTGTCCCCAGTGGGCTGACCTCAGAGCACAGATGTTAAGGACTTGCCCCAAGACCCACTGCAGAACAAGCTAAAGGCAGAGCTAACGCCAAGAGTCTGGTCCCCTTAAGGATGTTGGTCAGGGCTCAGCCTACAAGTCTATGAATCAAAGAGGCCAGCCGAGTCGGGTGATAAATCCATACCTTTCAACTGCCGTGAAAGACATTTTAAGAAATGTTAACAACTTCATTAATTTTAAGGCCTTAAACTTGGGCTGAGAAATTTGACTGGAAAATTGCTGCCTGAAGGGATCGTCCTTCAGACAGTGAGAAGTCACCAAGTCTCTGCAAGTCCGTCGTGGAACTCCACGCTTGGCTGGCTGTCTTCACCTGCGTTCTGGTGGGGGGACGTCAGGGTGGGGGAATGACAGTGAGCATCAACAACCTGACTGCAGGTGTCCTGATGACCACTGGGCTAGGCCTCTCTCGGGTGAGCGGTCCAGTTCTGAATTGGAATGGCTTTCTTCTTTCCAGTGTTTTATGAGAAGAGACGAGGTGGAAAGAGGCTAATAAGATTTACTCACCCCCAGTCTGTAATTATCTGCTTGAGGAAAAAGTTTGACCTACCTTTTTGAAGCCTCCCCATATTTCTTCTAATTTGCGTTGGGGCCTGATATGCTGTGTGAAATATATTCTCTTCTATGGCTTTTGACATCAGATTCCAGTCCTTTCTCGCCTTTGTGTTGAATGACGAACGCCCACTAATTTCATCATCAGCGAGCAGAGGGCTGCACATTCCTCCCCTAAGGCTTTGAGAGGGAGGATGTCTAAAGAAAGACTTTATTTTTCTTTTTATCATCAGCTCTAATGCCTTTAGACTTATTTATAGGCTTGGCTAAAGGATTAGGCTCTAACTACCTACCTAGATAAAAATCTGTTCCATCAGGTAGCACCAGATGCTAAAAGATTAAGGCCACTGGGGGTTTTGAAAGGCAGTTTTGATCACCTTGAGTTTTAGAGCCACAGAGACAGATGGTATCCTTTCCAACTTTAAGTCATATTTGCCCATTCTGGGTATGGGAAGAATCACATCAACTTTTTAAATAGAATGACGAAAGGTTCTGCCCATATGAGCAGGAGAAAGGGACTTTTCATTTATTTAAAAAATAAAAATAAAACATGATACATTGCAAAACTCTTTTCACCCACTTTCCTCATGTAAGTTGTATTACAAAATTGCAGTAGATGAAAATTATTTTATATTTTATTTTTATGGAAATACACATTGAGGGTCAAAGGAGTTTATTAATGTGCTTTCAATTTACGGAGTAGGTGAGCCATTAGAAAAGAATGAACCCAGACTTTCTGACTCTCTGAGTGCTCTTTCTATCATGTCACAAAGTTATTTCAAAGATGAGCTTTCCCTGCCTGGAGAGCATGCCTACTTCCTGGATGACCTGGTGTTTAGCTGAATGATCAATCTGATGTCTAAGACCTTGGGTAGCTATGGAACCAAGACTTGATATCACCAAATGGAGACTATCCCAGGCAGGCCAAGTAATTCAACCCATTCTAACCATGAGTGGAATCCTCTTGGCACTGTAGATAGTCTTGTCTTCTCTACCATCCCTCCCTCCCCATGCCAGACTATGGTCCCTGTATGGATTGACTTGTGTCTCCCCACAACATTATGTTGAAGTTCTAATGCCCTAGTACCTGCTAATGTGACCTTATTTGGGAATAGAGTCTTTGCAATCAAATAAAAATGAGACCATACTGGATTAGGATGGGCCTTAATCCATTATGATTGGTGTCCTTATAAGAAGAGAAAACACAGGCATATATAGGGTGCACACCATGTGGCTATGGAGTCAGAGACTAGAGTGATGTGTCTACAAGCCAAGGAACACCAAGGATCGCGGGCAGCACTGGGAGCTAAGAGGAAGGAACAAATTCTTCTTTAGTGCTTCAGGGAGAGCATGGCCCTGCCTACATGTTAACTTTGAATTTTTGGCCTCCAAAACTGTGAGAAAAGAAATTTTTTTAAGCCACCCAGTTGATGGTACTTTGTTATGACCCATTATTTTAAGCCACTCATTATTTTAAGCCACCCAGTTGATGGTACTTTGTTATGACTGCCCTAAGAAACTGATCCAGCCCCCTAATGTCCAGAACATTGGCTCCTGGGAAAGAAAATATTCTTCCCAACATCCCAACATCTAAGCACAACAAAATAATTGTTAGATTTGAATAAAAGTTCTATTCAAAGTTTGTCTGCTTTCCAGTCCAAGGGGATCTATCCAATTCAGGGGCTGGTGCTTTTAGAAAGAAAAATTAGATTTTTTAATTACTTTCCCTGCCACTGCCACCATCACTACCCATCCTGTTAATGTATCAATTTATTTGATTGAAAAGACTAGGTAAATTAAATATCTCTCTCTCAA